AGCCCACTGATCCAGAGTGTTGTGATCTGGTTTTAACTCAAACAAGTAAGTAACCGAGGCTGAGTTTTCAAAGTAGACAAACAAGCTAAAATATGGGAACTTGTAGACCAAGTCCCTTCCCCTCAAAACCCACATGCCTTTCCCTATGATAAGAATTAAGATCAAGAGACAACCCCCTGGCAGGATAGGTCAGCCATTCCTTCTTCCCAAGCAGAAGCTCCCAGCCCCACTGCACCGCCATCTGCTCAGTCACACGGAGAGTGACTCACTTGTGGAGGAGGCAGCCCCCCTGCCCCCAGGGGACACACGGGCAGCATCTTCTTGATTTTGTCACTGCTACACTGGCAGGTGGGTGAGGGGTTCTCCATCGTCCAGTTCCCATTTTGGAACAGGTCCGTGAGGGTCTGGGGAACGGGGGCGGTGGTCCACTCCTCCTCCCCCACTGAGCAGGGCATGTCTCTGCAAAGGGAGGACAGCAAAGGCAGCATTACCCGAGAGGACCTGGCCTTTCCTGGTGCCTCAGGAGCACAGACCAATCAATAACAACCACAAACATGCATCTATCCATCCCCTCACCATTTGTTTGATCTCCCCACAGACCTGTAAGCTGCAAACTCACTTTACAGGTAAGGATGAAGGAACACAAAGAGGCCCTAAATGCTCATATACCAAACTCCAGTCAATCCAATCTGCCGGCATTTGGTCTCTTGCCCCTGTGTCCGCTCAGCGAATATTCACTGAGCATCTACTATGTGCCAGACACTGTTCTGCACATCTGAGAGTCTGGGGTGAACAAGACAAAGTCCCTGCCTTCTGTAGAGGAATTTGGCAATAAGCAAATGTCACTTAGCCAAAAATAAAGCAAAATAAGAGGACACTGAATTGGGGGAAGAGGGACTACTGTCTTCTTCCAAGGCATAAATGATAGAAAGGAGTCAGGAAAAGATTTGGAGAGAAAGAACACTACAGGCAAAGGCAATAGAAAGTATAGGTACAAAGTCTCTCAGAAGAAGTGAACTTTCCATGTTTGAGGAACAGCAGGGGGACAGTGTGGCTGGAATGGGATGAGGTAGGAGGGAGAGTGATGGGAGATGAGTGGTGGAGGGAAGCAGGTGCCATATGACCCGGGCCTGGGAAGGAGTCTGCATGTTATGCTCAATGTGCTGTAAATCTGGTGCAGGATGGCAAGATTCACCTTATGTTTTAAAATGAGTACAGAATTGGGGTTTGGAGGGCATGGGGTGAGGGTGCTCAGTACATGAAGAGCTAGGTTGTCTGCAAGCATCACAAGGCCTTGAAGCCTGACTTGAGCTCTGAATCACTGCAGACCATCACAACACAACGCTTGCCCTCGTGGGTCTTATCTTTCCACCAGTAAAATAAAAGTACAAAATGTCATGCTAAACAAGTCATTTCCAGCATTCCTTCCAGTTGCAAAATTCTACAATGCATAGCCACACTCTTTATGTTATTCTTGTACGTGCTGAAAATACCAAAGGAACAGATTTGTGGACTGCTCTCTAGTTCTCTCTAAAGCTCCGTGACTTGATGGAAAAGTCAAAGTAAGACACCGTGCCCTCCTGAAGCTCAATACTCTAAAACCTCCAAAAGATGATTGGCTGAGATAAAGTTAAAAGCCACTGGTAAGTGTCCCAGTCAAATTTCCCTCAGTTATACCACTTTTTGAAAAACTTAAAATCTGAATTGCAGTAAGAGTTGTCAGTACAGAGATCTCGTCTTCAGACTGCCTCCAATACAGATCAGTGGTGCTCTTCATCCGAGCGGTAGCATCTGAATCAGGCTCATGCTTCTTTTGTCTTTCTAGCCTGGAAAACTGAACCTACCTCTACCAGCACTGGGCTCTCATAAGCTCCTCACCTCTCTTCATTGTCTTTACTCAGTGATCCCTTGATGTACCTTTGGCCTCCCCTCCCAGACACTTAGAGGCTTATGGACATTCACTGAATTTGTTTATACAGTGCCTTAAAAAAGGATTTTGAAGACAAATATCATTAAAAATATATACATTAAAGGAAGAAAATTTGTATTATTATAAAAACTGAATACATCATGTTTTCAGGTTGTCAAAGTGAAAAAGCTGATAAGCAAAACCAAAAATTACATATAGTGGAGCAGCCCATTGTAAAACTTAGGTATAAGAGTTGATGGAAAGCATTTGACAGGTAAGTATAAGGTGCTATTAAATTAAATATTAATGTGCTATATCAGTAAAAAAAAAAACAGCTATAATGATTCAGTTTGCAAGATGTTAGAACACTCTCCAAATGTTCGTTTCTAGATGTTCTGATTAGGTTACTATAATAGCTTTTTTAAAATTAAAAAAAAATGATTCAAAGGGCAAATGATGGTAGTCACAAGTGTGGCATGCAGCTGATAAATGCAATATTAGAGAGGAAATTAGAGGTGACAATGACAAGAAGCCAGTCAAGGAGGGTCTAAAACGGCACTCAGAGGATTGGTTTTCCTTCCATATGTTGGATCCCAAAGCCAGCATCTTTGCTGAGGGCATTCAAAAGTTCCTGGGTGCCCACGTTCTCAGAAGTGTCACCACTGTCGGTACATGAGAAGCAGCCAGTTTAGTAGTTCATTAAAAATAGGCCTGGGTGGCTCAGTTGTTGAGCGTCTGCCTTCGGCTTGGGTCATGATCCCAGGGTCCTGGGATCGAGCCCTGCATCAGGCTCCCTGCTCCACAAGAAGCCTGCTTCTCTCTCCCTGACTCCCTCTACTTGTGTTCCCTCTCCTGCTGTGTCTCTGTCAAATAAATAAATAAAAATCTTTTTTTAAATTTTTTATTGTTATGTTAATCACCATATATTACATCATTAGTTTTTGATGTAGTGTTCCATGATTCATTGTTTGTTCATAACACCCAGTGCTCCATGCAGAATGTGCCCTCTTTAATACCCATCACCAGGCTAACCCATCCCCCTACCCTCCTCCCCTCTAGAACCCTCAGTTTGTTTTTCAGAGTCCATCATCTCTCATGGTTCGTCTCCCCCTCCGACTTACTCCCCTTCATTCTTCCTCTCCTGTTATCTTCTTCTTTTTCTTTTTTCTTAAAATATGTTGCATTGTTTGTTTCAGAAGTACAGATCTGTGATTCAACAGTCTTGCACAATTCACAGCGCTCACCGTAGCACATACCCTCCCCAATGTCTATCACCCAGCCACCCCATCCCTCCTACCCCCAACCACTCCAGTAACACTCAGTTTGTTTCCTGAGATTAAGAATTCCTCATATCAGTGAGGTCATATGATACATGTCTTTCTCTGACTGACTTATTTCACTAAGCATAACACCCTCCAGTTCCATCCACGTCATTGCAAATGGCAAGATCTCATTCCTTTGGATGGCTGCATAATATTCCATTGTGTATATATACCACCTCTTCTTTATCCATTCATCTGTTGATGGACATCTTGGCTCTTTCCACAGTTTGACTATTGTGGACATTGCTGCTATAAACATTGGGGTGCACGTACCCCTTCGGGTCCCTACATTTGTATCTTTGGGGTAAATACCCAGTAATGCAATTGTTGGATCGAATGGTAGCTCTAATTTCAACTGTTTGAGGAACCTCCATACTGTTTTCCAGAGTGGTTGCACCAGCTTGCATTCCCACCAACAGTGTAGGAGGGTTCCCCTTTCTCCACATCCCCGCCAACATCTGTCGTTCCCTGACTTGTTAATTTTAGCCATTCTGACTGGTGTGAGGTGGTATCTCATTGAGGTTTTGATTTGGATTTCCCTGATGCCGAGCGATGTTGAGCACTTTTTCATGTGCCTGTTGGCCATTTGGATGTCTTCTTTGGAAAAATGTCTGTTCATGTCTTCTGCCCATTTCTTGATTGGATTATTTGTTCTTTGGGTGTTGAGTTTGAGAAATTCTTTATAGATTTTGGAGACTAGCCCTTTATCTGATATGTCATTTGCAAATATTTTCTCCCATTCTGTCGGCTGTCTTTTGGTTTTGTGGACTGTTTCTTTTGCTGTGCAAAAGCTTTTTATCTTGATGAAATCCCAATAGTTCATTTTTGCCCTGGCTTCCCGTGCCTTTGGCGATGTTTCTAGGAAGAAGTTGCTGCGGCTGAGGTCGAAGAGGTTGCTACCTGTGTTCTCCTTTAGGATTTTGATGGACTCCTGTCTCACGTTTAGGTCTTTCAACCAATAAATAAAAATCTTTAAAAAAAAATAGGAACTGGGAGGTAAAAAGGTTTTTCAAAATAAACGCTTTATTAAACACTTCCTGAGTGCTAGGTTCTTAACACAAAAATGAATAAAACACAGACTCACCTATAAGGACCTTAGATACTAGCCACATATTTGATATCAGGATGATAAACAGCACTCCAGAGTGGTGACTGTATAAATATGTATAAGTTGTGTGTATGTGTGCACATATATCTGTATAAACACACACACATAATATATATTTACATATGTATTTTAATGTGAAGTAAAGAAACTTATTAAAGATCTGTATTTCAAAAGTACTTTCAGGGGCACCTAGGTGGCTCAATTGATTAAGTGTCCAACTCTTTTTTTTTTTTTTTAAGATTTCATTTATTTATTTGTCAGAGAAAGAGAGAGCACAAGCAGGGGGAGTGGCAGGCAGAGGGAGAAGCAAGCTCCCTGCTGAGCTGGGAGCCCCATCTGGGACTCGATCCCAGGATGCTGGGATCATGACTTGAGCCGAAGGCAGACACTTAACTGACTGAGCCACCCAGGTGTCCCTAAGCGTCCAACTCTTGATCTCAGCTCAGTTCTTGATCTCAGGGTCATGAGTTCAAGAACCACTCTGGGCATGGAGCCTACTTTAAAAAAAAAAAGGGACTTTCACAAACTTAGTAAGGATCAGTATTTCAAAAGTACTTTCACAATTATCCATTAGGCATTGACAACAACTTTCTACAAAGGTCACGGAGATTTTATTGGCTGAATATTTGCATGGACAACTAAAAACTATAAACAATAATGAGCACAGATTATGAACACATTGCTACAGCCATGAGGAATACAAGGTGAGCCTAGAAAAGAAAGAATAAAATAAACCTGAGCTATATACATATATATATATATACATAAACAAACACACACACTATGCTATATATACTATAGCATACATATTTACACACATATATATAGCATATATACTATATGTGTATAAACTATATGTGTATATACTATATATGTACTACGTGTATATACAGTGTATATATAGCACACATATGTGTGTGTATACATAGTATAACTTTATTAAAAAAGCTTCCCTTGTTCTTTTTTAGAAGATTTATTTATTTATTTGAGAGAGAGAGAGAGAGATCGTGAGCCTAGGGAGGCGGGGCAGAAGGAGAGGGAGAGAGAATCTCAAGCAGACCACTGAGCCCAGAGCCTGATCTCATGACCCTGAGATCATGACCCTTAGATCATGTCCTGAGCTGAAATCGAGTTGGACGCTAAACCAACAGAGCCACCCAGGTGCCCTAGCTTCCCTTGTTTTTTATATCACTGACATGTTCTCCCCCATCTAAAGATCTACAAATCCTACAAAAATGAAGAAAATTTCTGCCTAACAAGATTAAGAAATTCCGTTAACCTTTTGTTTGAAGTACTGGATTGTTTGTTATAAGTAAGGACTATTTTTGTCTAAAGGACAAATACTAGCTAATATTTACAACTTATCAGATAAAAAATGCAAGAATTGTATTGTGGAAAAAACAAAGTATTAACTTCCTGGAGGTACAATGTGTATAAATCCTTTGACTTAACTACAAAATTAACATAGCTGTAAATATCCAAATACATTTATAACTTAATCCTAGATTTTAGAAGGGCAGATTATTTTCTTAAAATACATATAACTGTAGCTGGAAATAACCAGTATAAAGAGAAGAAAGGTTCAAATATGACAAAAGAGGATTCTCATTTCAAGTTCAATTCGCTGCTGTTCTTTGCATACGATATTAGTCTGTGTCGGGGCTTTAGAACACCTGATAAAATCCACTCCACCGTGTGATTCTCGAGTCCACCTGCCCTTGGTCCTCAGGAGTATCAACACCCTCAGTCGGCCTGAGCTCTCTTCTCTCCAGGGGCACAGAAAGCAAACACGTACCTGACAAACGTGTACTGTTCATTGTACATCCAGGGCTGAAGTTCCAGGCTGGGGTACTTGCCAAAGGGGGGCACGATCAAGCTGAACACCAGGGCAATGCAGACAAACACAGCTGGTAGGACGATCTGTAACCAGGGGACAGAGGGGGAAAGGAAGTGGCAAAACAAGGCCAAGTGTCAGAAAAAGGGGCCTGGGGCAAGCCCCTAAGAGTCCAGCCAGCCTCCCTAGCCCAGCCAGCACGCAAGTGAGCACCACGGGACCCAGAACAAAGCTCCCCCAAGGCATTCATGGCTGGCAGGTGGGAAGCAGCAGATCCTGCCACCGAAACCTCTTCCCTCCAGGGCATTTCTGGAGGCTGGCAGCACAAGGCCAGAGGCTGTGGCCACCTCGCAGAGGCACGAAGCTCAAAACTTTACAGAGTAAACAGTGGTCACATGTCAGGGGGACTCAGAACCCTGGGTCCTACTCTCTTCCCAATGAAGACCTGAGAAAGACCACGATGGGCCATGAGCCCGGCTCAGCTCAGAGAAAGGCCAAGAGAACAAGCCCTGCACCAAGAGCCAGAAGACCCGAAGCCTGGTTCTGTCTCTACAAGCGTATCCATGCGAAGTCACTCCCGCTGAGGCCTCAGTACTCTCACCTGTAATCTACAGACCAAGACTAAGTGACCCAGTCAGATCCCACGCTCTGAAAGGGGACAGCATCCGCTGTCACCATGGGATGGCCTCAAAAAGCATCATCACCCAAATCCTTCTTTATGGGAAAATACTCTATGACAATTCTCTCACTTCATTATCGTTACAACTCTATCACCAATCAACGAACAAGGGAACTGAGCTCAGAGAGACTAAGTAACCTGTCCAAGGTCACAAAGCCAGTAAGTGGCAGAACCAGAATTCAAACCCAGGTCTGCATGCTCCAAATTCATACTCTCTGCATTACCCACAGAGTCTGCAGGGAAGAATCTCTACAGACACTTTCTCTACACTTCTCGATTTTATACAGCGGGATAATTTTATCCCTTCCGACCGAGCAACTTAGCATGCAAACACTGACATGCAGGCAACAGTGTAATGAGTCTTCTCTGTTTGCCCATTTTTTTCTGACCTCCCTGGCTACCTGTCCGTCAATTTGCAGTTAAACACCACTTTAGAGAAAAGTCATGTTTCCAAGAAGTTTATATGTCAAGTGCATCTCAGGTTATGAAAACTGAACTTGCCCAGCCAATTTTCCTAAACTCTGTCCTTGTTACACTGTCCTCTACCATAAACCTCACACACACACACACACACACACACACACACACACACACACACAGCACGACTTAATGCCAGGCCCCATTCTAAGCACTTACTCACTAATCCTCATAACAACCCTATGTCATAGGCACATTATCTTCATTCTAAAGACGAGGACACAGAGGCACAGAGAAGTAACTTGCCCGCAGATGCGTGAGCGGCAGGAAGCAGGACTGGGATTGAAATACGGCAAGTCTGACTCCAGCATCCACCTCACAACCATGACCCTCTCCTGCCTTCACTGGTCAGGGAGCCTGCGGCCCACCCGGGAAGCCAGAGTCACTGGCCTGGAACAGCACTTGTCACCTGAGCAAAGAATCCCTTCCGACTCCGTCTGGCAATCAGCAGCCTCTTCCACAGAAGGGCCACAAACTGCTGTTGTGTGAGCTTCCAGCCCTTCACCTGGTAAGAGCCTTTGCCGTCCATCCTGCTGAGCAGGTCTGTTTGTCTGGATTCTGCAAGAAGCCAACACTGAAGGTCACCTAGCATCTGAGGCAGTTTTGACCTCACCTTGCTCTTCTTGTTCTGGCTTTTCCAGCAAGACTTCAAATCAGTAAGATAAAGATGAAAGATACAATAGAAAATTGGGCAATGGTAATAAAGTGAGATCTTGAAAACAAAATTATATAGCCTACAAAATATGAAAAGATGAATTCACAAGAAATCAGAAATGTAAATTATTTCTCATATATAAATGAAAAAAATTATAAAGTTGCTGTAAAACCAATGATGGTCAAGTAAAGCTAAAACACATTAAAAAGTGAACTAATTACTCAGCTAGTAGGTATCTGACAGCTTGTGGAAGTGAAAGTGAAAAGAAATATACTAAACACTGGATAATGGGTCATTTGAAAGAGGAGCTTCATCAAAGAGAGAGCCTAAAAGCAGCATAGATCAGAAAGGAACACAGACAATATACCTTCACAGTCACCTTACAGGCAATACAATGGCACTAAATGCATATCTTTCAACAGTTACCCTGAATGTAAATGGGCTAAATGCCCCAATCAAAGACACAGGCTATCAGGTTGGATTAAAAAACAAGACCCATCAATATGCTGTCTGCAAGAGACTCATTTTAGACCCAAAGACACCCCGAGATTTAAAGTGAGGGGGTGGAAAACCATTTACCATGCTAATGGACACCAAAAGAAAGCTAGGGTGGCAATCCTTATATCAGACAAATTAGATTTTAAACCAAAGACTGTAATAAGAGATGAGGAAGGACACTATATCCTACTTAAAGGGTCTATCCAACAAGAAGATCTAACAATTATAAATATCTATGCCCCTAACATGGGAGCAGCCAATTATATAAGGCAATTAATAACAAAAGCAAAGAAACACATTGACAACAATACAATAATAGTGGGGGACTTTAACACCCCCCCGACTGAAATGGACAGATCATCTAAGCAAAAGATCAACAAGGAAATAAAGACTTTAAGTGACATACTGGACCAAATGGACTTCACAGACATATTCAGAACATTCCATCCCAAAGCAACGGAATACGCATTCTTCTCTAGTGCCCATGGAACATTCTCCAGAATTGATCACATCCTAGGTCACAAATCAGGTCTCAACCGGTACCAAAAGATTGGGATCATTCCCTGCATATTTTCAGACCACAATGCTTTGAAACTGAACTCATTCACAAGAGGAAAGTCAGAAAGAACTTAAATACATGGAGGCTAAAGAGCATCCTACTAAAGAATGAATGGGTCAACCAGGAAATTAAAGAAGAATTTAAAAAATTCATGGAAACCAATGAAAATGAAAACACAACTGTTCAAAATCTTTGGGATGCAGCAAAGGCAGTCCTGAGAGGAAAGTATATAGCAATACAAGCCTTTCTCAAGAAACAAGAAAGGTCTCAAATACACAACCTAACCCTACACCTAAAGAAGCTAGAGATAAAACAGCAAATAAAGCCTAAATCCAGCAGGAGAAGAGAAATAATAAAGATCAGAGCAGAAATCAATGAAATAAAAACCAAAAGAACAGTAGAACAGATCAACGAAACTAGGAGCTGGTTCTTTGAAAGAATTAACAAGATTGATAAACCCCTGGCCAGACTTATCAAAAAGAAAAGAGAAATGACCCAAATCAACAAAAATCATGAATGAAAGAGGAGAGATCACAACCAACACCAAAGAAATACAAACAATTATAAGAACATATTATGAGCAACTCTATGCCAGCAAATTAGATAACCTGGAAGAAATGGATGCATTCCTAGAGATGTATCAACTACCAAAACTGAATCAGGAAGAAATAGAAAACCTGAACAGACCTATAACCACTAAGGAAACTGAAGCAGTCATCAAAAATCTCCGAACAAACAAAAGCCCAGGGCCAGATGGCTTCCCAGGGGAATTCTACCAAACATTTAAAGAAGAATTAATTCCTATTATCCTGAAACTGTTCCAAAAAATAGAAATGGGAGGAAAACTTCCAAACTTGTTTTATGAGGCCCCCATTACCTTGATCCCAAAACCAGACAAAGACCCCATCAAAAAGGAGAATTACAGATCAATATCCTTGATGAACATGGATGCAAAAATTCTCACCAAAATACTAGCCAATAGGATCCAACAGTACATTAAAAGGATTATTCACCACAACCAAGTGGGATTTATCCCTGGGCTGCAAGGTTGGTTCAACATCCGCAAATCAATCAACATGATACAATACATTAACAAAAGAAAGAACAAGAATCATATGATCCTCTCAATAGATGCAGAAAAAGCATTTGACAAAGTACAGCATCCTTTCTTGATCAAAACTCTTCAGAGTATAGGGATACAGGGTACATACTTCAATATCATAAAAGCCATTTATGAAAAACCTACAGCGAATATCATTCTCAATGGGGAAAAGCTGAGAGCTTTCCCCCTGAGGTCAGGAACGCGGCAGGGATGTCCATTACCACCACTGCTATTCAACAGAGTAGTAGAAGTCCTAGCCACAGCAATCAGACAACAAAAAGAAATCAAAGGCATCCAAATCGGCAAAGAAGAAGTCAAACTCTCACTCTTTGCAGATGATATGACACTTTATGTGGAAAACCCAAAAGACTCCACCCCAAAACTGCTAGAACTCATACAGGAATTCAGTAAAGTGGCAGGACATAAAATCGATACACAGAGATCAGTGGCATTCCTATACACCAACAACAAGACAGAAGAGAGAGAAATTAAGGAGTCGATCCCACTTACAATTGCACCCAAAACCATAAGATACCTAGGAATAAATCTAACCAAAGAGGCAAAGGATCTGTACTCAGAAAACTATAAAATACTCATGAAAGACATTAAGGAAGACACAAAGAAATGTAAAAACGTTCCATGCTCATGGATTGGAAGAACAAATATGGTGAATATGTCAATGCTACCTAGAGCAATCTACACATTCAATGCAATCCCCATCAAAATACCATCCACTTTTTTCAAAGAAATGGAACAAATAATCCTCAAATTTGTATGGAACCAGAAAAGACCCGACTAGCCAGAGGAATGTTGAAAAAGAAAAGCAAAGCTGGCGGCATCACAATTCTGCACTTCCAGCTCTATTACAAAGCTGTCACCATCAAGACAGTATGGTACTGGCACAAAAACAGACACATAGATCAATGGAACAGAATAGAGAGCCCAGAAATGGACCCTCAACTCTATGGTCAACTCATCTTCGACAAAGCAGGAAAGAATGTCCAATGGAAAAAAGACAGTCTCTTCAACAAATGGTGTTGGGAAAATTGGACAACCACATGCAGAAGAATGAAACTGGCCAATTCTTTACACCACACACAAAAATAGACTCAAGATGGTTGAAAGACCTAAACGTGAGACAGGAGTCCATCAAAATCCTAAAGGAGAACACAGGCAGCAACCTCTTCGACCTCAGCCACAGCAACTTCTTCCTAGACACATCGCCAAAGGCAAGGGAAGCAAGGACAAAAATGAACTACTGGGATTTCATCAAGATAAAAAGCTTTTGCACAGCAAAAGAAACAGTCCACAAAACCAAAAGACAACCGACAGAATGGGAGAAGATATTTACAAATGACATATCAGATAAAGGGCTAGTATCCAAAATCTATAAAGAACTTATCAAACTCAGCACCCAAAGAACAAATAATCCAATCAAGAAATGGGCAGAAGACATGAACAGACATTTTTCCAAAGAAGACATCCAAATGGCCAACAGGCACATGAAAAAGTGCTCAACATCACTCGGCATCAGGGAAATCCAAATCAAAACCTCAATGAGATACCACCTCACACCAGTCAGAATGGCTAAAATGAACAAGTCGGGAAACGACAGATGTTGGCGGGGATGCGGAGAAAGGGGAACCCTCCTACACTGTTGGTGGGAATACAAGCTGGTGCAGCCACTTACAGCCACCAAAACAGTATGGAGGTTCCTCAAAAAGTTGAAAATAGAGCTACCCTACGATCCAGCAATTGCACTACTGGGTATTTACCCCAAAGATACAAATGTAGGGATCCGAAGGGGTACGTGCACCCCGATGTTTATAGCAGCAATATCCACAATAGCTAAACTGTGGAAAGAGCCAAGATGTCCATCGACAGATGAATGGATAAAGAAGAAGTGGTATATATACATGATGGAATATTATGCAGCCATCAAAAGGAATGAGATCTTGCCATTTGCAATGACGTGGATGGAACTGGAAGGTGTTATGCTGTGAAATAAGTCAATCAGAGAAAGACATGTATCATATGACCTCACTGATATGAGGAATTCTTAATCTCAGGAAAGAAACTGAGGGTTGCTGGAGTGGGGGTGGGGTGGGAGGGATGGGGTAGCTGGGTGATAGACATTGGGGAGGGTATGTGCTATGGGGAGCTCTAGGAATTGTGCAAGACTGTTGAATCACAGATCTGTACCTCTGAAACAAATAATGCAATATATGTTAAGAAAAAAAAAAAGAAGGTAGCAGGAGGGGAAGAATGAAGTGGGGGAAATCGGAGGGGGAGAGGAACCATGAGAGATGATGGACTCTGAAAAACAAACTGAGGGTTCTAGAGGGGAGGGGGGTGGGGGGATGGGTTAGCCTGGTGATGGGTATTAAAGAGGGCACGTTCCGCGTGGAGCACTGGGTGTTATGCACAAACAATGAATCATGGAAGGCTACATCAAAAACTAATGATGTAATGTATGGTGATTAACATTACAATAAAAAATTTAAAGAAAAAAAAAGAAAGAAGAGCTTCATGAAAAAATATGTCACAAACTAAGTGCACGAGTGTTTTAAGCTAGAAAGTGTCTCAATTTATATGTAGGGGAAAAGCCAGCATATTTAGTAACAATCTAAAATAAGTATCAAAAGTTCCAGAAATACTTCTCCCATAACATCTCTCTCCAACTCCAGTCGGGAGGCACAAAGATCACTCAAAGCAATAGACTTGTAAAGCCTATTTCAAGGAATAATTACATTTATTAAT